CTCTCTCTTTTATACGAACAAATAATCCCCTTTTTTCTACAGACTCTTCCTTTCACCGCCTCCCTACATGTCGAACATCTGTGTCTGTAATTGGCAGTAAAGAAAGAAACGACAAACAAATAGACAAATAATATACAAACAAAGAAAAAAACCCCGATAGCAATGTTTCCACCTTCCCTATGTATCCCCAGAGCTGAAATCTGTGGCAGCGCTGCTGGGTGTGTCTGGAGTGTCCCTGTACCGTGGCTTCACCACACAGACTCGTGTGTCCCATGGGCAAGTGTGCCGGACTATCACCGACGCCAACACGGTATGTGTGACATGAGATATGAGACGAGATGAGATGGGATGGGATCGGGTGAAGTGGGATGGGGTGGGATGAGCTGAGATGGGATGGGAAGGGATGGGATGGGACTGCGCCGATGGGGGTGGATGGAGTGAGGTGAGGTGATCTGAGGTGAGGCGGGGGCGAGATGAGATGAGATGAGATGAAATGAAATGAGACCAGACAATTCTTAATTATTGTTCATATGGGACATTTTCCATGGCTTCACAGGTTAGATAAAAACATACTACATAGATGTACATGCAATTAAGATTGTATTTTATTTTCATTAAAGAATATTTTAGTGAGAAGAAAAAGCTAAAGCTTACAATAATAATGTACAATACGTCTAACAAGTTCACTGAAACCGTCAGTCAGGCTGGCTTACTTCATCTTGAAATAGCTGCTGAACCGGCCCTCTAAGCTTTATTTGCAAGGACAATGTGAACTGAATGTAGATTCTTTTTATGAAATGATACACGTAAAGTGATAAAAAGAAATGGCGATTTAAAAAGTACGCCGTTAAAAAAATCCACCCCAAACAAACAATTAAAAAGAGAAACAACAACAGCAGCAACTACAACAACGTCAGCAACAACAACAACAACAACAACAACAACAACAACAACATCAACAACAAAAGATAGATATATGTCATCTGGTCATCTTGCTCCATGTGGTTTCCTCAGTCCAACAACACACGAGACAGTCTGGCGAAGGCGCTGTACTTCCGGACTCTGTCCGCCATCTTGAGACGCGTTAACAGCATGAAGAGACGGTCGTCCCACTGTACACAGAGCACGGAGAGTCTCGAGTCCAGGGGAAGCAGTCAATACAGTGAGTACTGGGGACCCTCCTCTCTCTCGAACCTACACACACACCCTTGCAAACGAGGAAAGTAAACCAACAACAATGTAAATAAAAATGCAAAAACAAACAAACATACCAAAAAAACCCCAACCAAAAGTAATAGACAAACAAAAAGAAACAAATAAACAAACAAAAAAACAAAACAAAAACAAGCGAAAATGAGCAAAAAGCCTCCGGTCTGGTGTAGCTTGCTCCTTTTTTCCTATAAAACATATATCGCCCATATCTCTCATCCTCCTTTTTAGTGTATGTTACTCTCTTGTGACACATCTATTCTTCGGCACTTATATGACCTTATTGTAATGCAAGTGCCGTAAAAACTCTTGACTAAAACTAAACCCTCTCTCTCTTTGCAAGTTATGTTTTAATGTCTGTATTGACTCTTGCTTCCAGACAGCAAGCCTGACATCCTACATCCGTCCCTGCCAAACTACCTCAGTCTTTCCTTGAGCAAAAAGTCGTCGGAGAGTTTCATCGGCATCCTGGACCTGTTCGGCTTTGAGACGGCAGAAGTTGGTGCATCTTTATATTATTGCCTTACAGGGCACAGCTTTTGATTTAAGTGGCTTACGCTCTGTTTCTAGAAAATTGAAACCTTCTGCAAATAGAAAACAGCATTTAGCATTGTAGTATTTGCTTTGAAGACTATCATCTTTAAAAAAAGTATGACATAAAGACGCCTTAAAGGGCTATTCAAATGTGCATATTATTATTATCAATTTTTGTAACCGGTGGTCATTACAAGTAAAGGAAATACAATGGGGGACTAATTTTTCGTGCACCTAACTCTGTCTTTCTCACCTACCCTTACCCCCTCCCCTTACTTCCCCGTTTAGCATCTTCTCATAATTATCTTTTTCTTTTATTACTTCTTCTTTCTCAAAACCCTCCCCCCACCCTCCGCTCCTTTCCGTTTTTCAATCTCATCCTCCCCTTTCCCCCATCTTTCTCGTCCTCCGTGTCCTGCCCACCTTTTATCATTTTCTTCCTCCTCCTTCTCCTGTTCTTTCTCCTCCTCCTTCCAACCTTTTG